CGTAGTTGAAGATAACAATATGTAATATAACAACCACTGTTAATTCCTATCATTTTGTTTTGAAACCCCATATCATTTTTAATGTTCTTGCTTTGTTTTGTTTATGTCTGTGATATTGGTATTTTGCTATTGTTCTTTTTTTACTACTCTCTTTAAAATAAAAAAAGATACAGAATTTCAAAAAAAAAAGGTGCTAGGAAATTAACAATGGTTATGTATTGCATATTGTTATCTTCAAAGTAGTTGGTCAGATTACCAGATATAGGCATGCAAGATTAATGAAACAATATAAACCCTATTCCTTTCAATGAACTAATTAAAATTACAGTTTTTATAAGCCATATTCCTTTCAATGAACTAATTAAAAGTACAGTTATCTTAGCTATTATATATATATGTCATTTTTATTGTTTTAGCTCTGTTTTGTTTTTGTCTATGTTGTTATTTTGCTATTGTTCTTTTTTTTAATTCTCTTTAAAGTGAAAAAAAAATTCTGCATGCTTGAGCAATCCCCTGCTTTCTTAGTACAAAAACTTTGTAGCAAGAAAAAAACCAAAGAGCAAACTCCTCCTTGGAGAAGGCTGGGCAGCGGTGGGTCCTGGACCGTGCTGAAGAGGCGCCGGAAAGAGCTGGCAGAATGCACTGCTGAGGGAGTCTTGTGTGCGCGTGGTACCGCCGTTAAGCAAATCGTTCTTGGACACCTCGGGATTTTCCTCAGAGGAGGTGCTCCTCAGTTTCTTGGAGGAGTCCCAGTGTCTTCTTGAAAACATCTGGCGGGTTTAGTAACCAGTACACGCTCTCAGGGTAAAATGGTTTTGTAAAGATGGCACAGCTGTTCGGTGTCCCCAGATTGAAAAGGGCACAAAGTGGCCAGTGAATGACCAATGCTTGTTGCCCTCTCCACGGGACCTCAGGAGGGTGCTCACGTAAACCCACCCCAGCTGCGTGCTTGACCTTTGGAGCGACAGTGAAGGTGGGGCCTTTTGCACCCCTGGCTTCTCACACGGTGCATAACATTACCTGGGAGAGCTCCTCTTGAAGGCAGGGGCACATACTGGGCAGAGAGGGTCAAAGCCCGTGTGGAGGACAAGCAGGCTCATCATGCCTTCAGGCTCAAGAGCCCTCAGGCGCCTCTGCCAACCTGGGTGTCCTCTGCCAGCCTGGGTGTCCTCTGCCCAAGCCGGGGTCCTTTGAAGACTTCAGGGAGTCGAGGGCAGCAGTGTCCCTGGAGCGCAGCTCCCGGCTCCCGGCCTTCTGTGTCTTCTCAGTTCTGCCCAGCCTTGCTGTAAGTCAGTTAGCTCAATTCCCAGGGTCTTTGGGGGCTCGGAAACTGTCTCTGCGCCCTTAGAAATAGCAAACCGTTCTAATCAGTAAGGGGTCAGGTCCAAACAACTTAGTGTTTCTGTGCTAACAACGCAGTAGCTATGTGAAAAAACAGTACATATAAACTGAAAGAATGAATGCTTTCATTCGGAAGTACCCTCAATTACTTGCTCTGGGATGTGGATACTTGCTGGGCACTGCTTAGCTTCTGCCAGCTCATGTCCTCCTCCACATGGATTTTTACCCAGTACTTGCTTTTGATCCCATCGGTCACTGAACACTGAACTTCGCAGGGGTAGGACGTGCTTGTCCCTTGAGAAGAACGTAGTGCTATCTCTGGTTGAAACTGAACTACCCAGGCTAGTGATTCACATGGAGCCGAGCAGATGCTGAGTATCCCCGTACGGCCCCAAGCTGCAGTGCCCTGCAGTGCCCTGTGGGTTTGTGGCAGCTTCCTGGGCATCTCGGAGGGAGGGGCATACGCTGTTGCAGTCTTCGGTGCGTGGAGAGGACACAGCGTCACCTGTGGGGTAGGAGCAGCAATGGTTGATACTTTATCTAGAACATCCAGGAAGGAACTATTCCCTGTATGTCCCGCCTCCACTTGGACTCTGCCCACCCCCGGCCCCGGCTGTGTCGAAGGAGGCTGCCGGAGAGGAGACGGAACCTCTCACAAGCAGAGGGCTCTAGCTCCTTGCTGGTGGGTGGGCTGTGCGGGCACTGCCCCGCGTTGAGAGTGCAAGTCCCGCACAGTGTGGTCACCCCACGGGTAGCCATCAGTCTACTTTGAAAAGCAAGTCTTGGAACACAGCTCCTTCTTGACATTCTTATCGACCCACCGGAAGTTGAAAACGCCGTCCATCGGAAATGCATCTCATGCCTCTAACGGAAAGTGCGTCCCGCTCCGCTGCGCACCGCATGGTAGAGTTCTGCTGTTTCCCTCTGTGCTCGCTCGCACGGCGGCCGGTTGCAGCTCACTGCTGCTGTGCAGGTCACAAGAGCGTCAAATCAGACGTCACCAGCTTAGGAAAGGACTGAATTGAAGACTCAGGGTGTGGCTCTACTGGAGGTGGATCGCTTTCCCACCATTTTAAAGTTGAAAATTACAGATCGGGCCTCAGGGACAGACTGTAGGAGAACCTTTACACTAGGTTTTCACTAGGTAGAAAGTGGCCAGGGAGACCTTTGAACTGGGGAGCCGGACCAGCAACCTCATGCAGCATTGTACATTTTTCTTTTGCTGAAAGTGCCCCATATTTGCTGCCCCTTTTCTGTGACAGCAGATAACTTCCAGCACCCAGTCTTTCAGAGTACAGCTGATGCCAGCAAGGAGTGAGGAGCTAACGCAGGGCATTTTAAAATGCTCTTGTTAAAAACACAGAAGTGCAAACCTCCTGATTAGTCTTCAAGAATGGTTACCCGGGATCAGGCAAGGCGGCAGTTTGTCGTTCGAGTGCAAGACTTTTCCATCATTGGAAGAAATGTTAAAAATTAGTACGTTGATTTAATAAATGCACCGATGGTGCAGTTCTTCTTGGGAAGTATTTTTCATCTTTTAAAACTGTTGAACCAAAGTAAACTATTTATGACTGGTTGTTTTATTTCCAACTTAAAATGAAACACTTTAAAGCAATTTTAGTCCCATTGCTCTAAGAAAAGCTAAAAGATTCTCGTGTCTTAAATACCTTAAACTATTTTTTGTTTTGTTTTTATCTTGTGTAAAATTTTATTTTTATGTATATGTTATATGCAATATTAGGGTACATAGGAGTACTTTAAAATGTGTTAGAGACCATCATTCTAAAGAGAGTGCTTGGGAGTTAGCTGAGTCCCACGCTAGTGGTGTTCAAACTCCCCTCGTCCGGCCCTCAGGGGTTCCACTGAGGCCTCCCCAGGGTGTTTCAGAGAGGAAGACCAGAGCTCCGGGCGGTCTCTGGTGAGCCCTGTGTGTGCTACTGTAGCTTTATTGTTAGCTTTCTAACTTTCTATATTGGGGCTGCATGTAAAAAAGTCTGCCACAAATATTTTTCTAGTTAAGTTTGGAGATGCAGTGTCAGACACGTGGTAATGGTTGTTGATTGTGGCAGCATACGTTGTGGAGTTTTAATGTCGTTAGACCCTAATAAGCGCTGCTCAATCCAGCGAAAGGCTTACCTTCCTCCCCTGTCTCCAGACCTGCTGAGGATTTTCCTCATTC